ATACCTTTAATATTACCCGCTAACCTTTTCTCGTATAATCTTTTTGCCCCTCTTATTTCCTTTTTCAAACCTTTTCTGCACTTCCTATATTCTATTTGGTTGTCCTCTGTATCTTGGGTTTGACATTTGTTATACGCCTCCTTTTTCTGCTTCATTGTAGATACAATTACCTTTGTCATCCACTGAGGTTTGGAAGCCCTTTTGTGGGAATGTATTTATTCTGCCCCCGAGCTATCTCATCCTTGAAGACTTCCCACTGCTCTTTAGTTGTTTTACTGCCAATCTCTCTTTCTAGTCCACCTTGGCTCGGTCCCTTTTTAACTCAATGAAATTTGCCCTCTTCCAGTTGAATATCTTCACCTTAGATGGTTCCTTGTCTCTTTCCATATGCACTCTGAATCTAATGATGTTATGATCACTATTGCCCAGTTGCTCTCCCACTGAAACCTGCTCCACTTGCCTACTTCATTCTCCAGAACTAGATCTAGCACTGCTTCCTTCCAATCACATACAATATAAAAATTACATTTAAATAGCTCCTTTCACAAGTATAGGACGTCCCAAAGCACCTAACAGAATTGGCTGTGCACAGAAACTGGGGGTGGGAGCCAATGGGGAGGGTGAGGAGGGGGAGGATGATTGAAACTATAGGGTTAGACCTTGAGACACACTCTGAGCAAGTTGAGAGATGGTAGAAAATCAGAGGGACTTGGGGACAGAATTTCAGAGAGTGGGACTGAAAGTCTGAAAGCCCACCCGCTGAGGGCTGGAAGGGCAGGAGTTATAGAGCAGGCTGAGTGAAGGGAGCAGTCAGGTCAATAGGTTTTGAGGAGGTCACAGAGGATAGAGAGGGGTGAGACGTGGAGAGGTTTAAAGATGAGAATCAGAATCTTGAACTCTATCCACTAGGGGATGAGGAGCCAATGGAGCTGAGCAAGAATGTGAATGACAAGCTCACAGAGCTGGGGATTCCGGTGAGCAGAGCATTGGTAGCATCCTTCAGATGGAATGTTAAACCGAGATCCCATTTGCCTATTCAGGTGGATGTTAAAGATCCCACAGCACTATTCAAAAAGAGAAGGGAGTTTCTCTCAGTGTTCTGACCACCAATCCCCAAAATAATATTGATCACTCACTTCATTGCTGTTCATGGGACACTGTTGTGTGCAATTGGCTGCTGTGTTTGGCCCACAAAGTACACAATCAATCCACTTTACAGTATTTCCTGTGAAGCACTTTCAGATGGCTTAATGACATGATGAGGCGCAATATCAAATGCAAAGATTTTTATTATTATATATTATTTTAGTCAAACCTGGACATGATAATTCCATGGATGAGGGTCTCAGCAGCCCAAGGGGAGAGTTAGTAGAAAACATAGGCTGCAAAATTCTTCAATAATCTGTGTTTTGTGGAGAAGAGTTGGGAAGTCCTGTGAGCAGAGAGTTGGAGTGATGAATACGTGGATAAGCCCGAGAGTAGAGGCATTGGCGGAGGCAAGCAACGTTTCAAAGGTGGGGCAAGCTGAAGAGTTGGGAAGTCCTCTGAGCAGAGAGTTGGCGCAGTCTAGCCTGGAGTGATGAATATGTGGATAAGCCCGAGAGTAGAGGCATTGGTGGATGCAAGCAACATTTCAAAGGTGGGGCAAGTCGAACGGGTCACAGCAAAAATGTAAGGTTTAGAGGAGAGTTGGGATTCAAACAAGACCCTGAGTTTCTACACTAGGCCAGCAAAAAGGAGTGTGCATCCATGCATGTGAGAAGCGCTGATGGGAGCCAAGCAGGAGAAATTTTGTCCTGTCAATGTTCTATTCAAGAAAGTTAGAGCTCATCCAGGATTTGATGTCTTACGGGCATTCGGTCAGAACAGCATTGCTCCTCGAATCGAGGGTGGAAGCAAAGAGATAAAATGGGTGCAAGTGAGCTAGGAAGCAATAACTCACTTCAGTACCTGAGGAATGAAAGACAGGTTAGAGAGCATGGTTGGGTCAAGGGAGAATGTTTTATATTAGAATACATTAGAATATACAGCACAGAAACAGGCCATTCGGCCTAACTTGTCTATGCCGATGTTTATGCTCCACATGAGCCTCCTCCTGCCCTTCCTCAAATAAGCCTTCAAGCATAACCTTCTATTCCTATATCCCTCATGTACCTATCTAGCTTTCCCTTAAATACATCTATGCTATTTGCCTCAACAACCTCTTGTGGTAGGTAGTATGTTCCACATTCCCACTACTCTCTGTGTGAAGAAATTTCTTCTAACTTCCCTATTTGATCTATTTGTGACTATTTTATGTTGATGACCCCTGGTTTTGGTTTCCCCCATAGGTGGAAACATCTTTCCTGTGTCTACCCTATCAAAATCTTTCATCATTTTAAAGACCTCTATCAGGTCACCCCTTACCCTCCTCCTTTCAAGAGAAAAGAGTCCAAGCATGTTCAGCCTTTCCTGATAGGTATAAGCTTTCAGTTCTGGGATTATCCTTGTTTGAGAAAGTTGGCAGAGGTTTTGAAAGAGAATGGGAACTGGGAAGTTAACAATATCAATTAGTAGGGAGAAGAAAATGGAGCTGGGTGGTCAGGGATGGGTGGGATTGGGATCAAGGGAGCACATGGTGAATTTTGAGTGGGAATTGAGGAGAGAGATGAAAGAGAGACGGGGTCGAAAGTGGAACATTGGTAGGTTTAAATGATCCTTTGACTTGGGTCAATAGATCCCACACTTTTTCCAATAAACCTTTCTAAAACATATTAGATTAATTAGTCTGGGAATCACTGTGAATGTTTCTGTGAGCCCTGCAGTTCATGCCGCCCAGAACAAAGAGGAAACAAAGGAGGGCAACCAGAATGACTGAAGAGATGGGGGTCTAGATTTTGATAAGCGACTGGGCATGTTCCTGCTTGAAAAGAAAAGCTTGTAATATGATTGTGGTTTTTATGATTCTATTAGATAATGTTCTGTAGACCATGACAAGCTATTTCATCTAGTCTAGAACAATAGATTCAGAGGACATGGCCTGCGATTGAAGGGGAGTAAATTCAAAACTAATCTGCAGAAACACTATTTCAGTGAGCAAACAGAAACTCAATGGGACAAGCTCCCTAAGGAGACGGTGGAAGCCGAAAGTGTCAATTCATTCAAATGCAAATTAGATCAATTTCTTTTGGAAAATAATATTTTGGAATTCAGTGTATAAGTAATCTGAGACATGATGTATAGTAAGTGTGGTATGCTTTGAAAAACTAGGCAACTTTGGATCTAAGGTTTCCATAAAGAATTAATTGCTGTCAACATCTCCCATATTGTAGCATGCGACTACCACCACCACCAAGAACAACAACGATTTGCACTTATGTAGCCCAGCCACCCACCCCCCCCACATGCAGGGTAGTGTTGCTAAGTACTTAACAGTAGTGGAGCCTGATTCCGGGACGAGGTAGGAAGTGGCCATAAGCACGGTTGAACAAGAAAGTTTTCAGGCAGGATTTGAAAGAGGAGAGAGAGGGGGCAAGGCAGAGGGAGTGAGGAAGAGTGTTCCAGACTTTCGGGGCATAGTGACTGAAAGCATAACCTCCGATGCTGGGGCAATGGGTGCGAGGGATGAGCAGGAGAACGGTGTCAGTCAAGCAGAGGCATCAGGTGATGGATTGGGGATTGAGGAGGTGGGAGAGATAGGGAGGTGCCAGAGAGTGAAGGGATTTGAACACGAGCGTGAGGATCTTGAAGTCGATCCGTTCGGTGTTGGAGAGCCAGTGGAGCCTGGCAGAACTGGTGAGATGTGGGTACGGAATTTGGTCCAGATAAGTATATGGGCAGCAGAGTTCTGAATAGTGGAGCTGGGGAGATTGGCAAAGAGTGCAGTTGAATAATCCAGGCGCGAGGTGACAAACGCATGCATAAGGGTTTTGGCTGCTTTTGGGGTAAGGTATGGTCAGAGGTGGACAATGTGGTGGAGGTCGGAGAAGGCAGTCCTGGTCAGGAACCAGATGTGGAGGATGAAGGACAGCTGGGGTCGAACTTGACTCCTAGATTGCGTACTCGTTCAGTGAGTGTGAGGGAGAGCCCAGGGAGGTTGAGGAGTTTAGATCCGCAGGAGTGAAGACATTGATTGAATTCAGGGAGTATGGCTTCTGTCTGTCCACATTCAGCTGCAGGAAGTTTACACTCATCCAGGCACTGATCTGCCAGACAGGCTGATAAAATATTGGCGGACCTGGAGTGAGCAGCAGCTGGGTGGGGAGGGGGTCTAGGAAGCAGGTGGTGAACTTCATCTAGGTGATTGTGGTTGAGAGGGAAGGGGGAGAAATGGGGGCAAAGGAGTGTAAGGAGTGGGGAGTGGCAGGAGCAGCGGTGGAGGGAGAAGGCAGTGTGGATCGTCTGGTGGGGTGGAAGCTGGTGGGGCAGGTACCGATGCAGCCAAGTGGATGTTTTCAATCTTTGAGGTGAAGAAGGCTAGGACCTCGCACTTGGTGCTTAATATGAGGATAGAGGGGGCTTAAGGGGACGTACGGAGGAGGTGATAGATGGTGGAAAACAGCAGCTTTGCATTGTTGTTTACCTCCAGTATGACTTTGGAATAAACGTCAGTTTTGGCCTCTGAAAAAGGCGGTAGGTTCAGAGCCACAGATGGCGGTGTATCGTGAGTCCGGATTTCTGCCATCTGCGCTTGAGCATCCGGGTTTGTGTTTTGAGTTGGATGACTGTTGTACCAGGGGAGCTGGTGGGTTTGGAAACAACCCTGGATTTCAGGGGAGCCAAGGAATTAAAGGCTGATACCAGGATGATAGAATGTGAACTAGATGGACCTTAGTCTTTTTTCGTTCAGCAATTCCTATATTTCTATATGTTGTGGTGGATTTTCTTCCAGTCTTATTGTGTCTGCTCCACTCAGGGGCTGTTAATGACTGATTGAACGTCGGTGACTTAGGTATTATCATTTGCTGTGCCAATGGTAACTGATTTGTTTCTTTCCAAAAGGTTGCAGAATCTGCATATCTGTGTGTCTGTGTGTATGTGTGTGAACAGTTCTAACTTAATCAGAAGAAGAGAGAGGTAGGAATTGGAATTGTGTGTTAATGTAAACATGTTTTGCTTTGATAATAGTGTTTCTGCTCTTATTTCAAGAAAGAACCTTAACTCTGCACATGCAATACTTGAACAATAAGTGAAGCCATTTTGACATTCATGGTTACTGTTTTCATTTCAGATCCAGGAAACGATCTTCACTCTGCAGACATGATGCTGGGATACTGGGTTTTGCTGCTCGGTGCATTGCTCTCATGTGGTGCTTCAGGTACTTTTCACTGTACAGACAGCAGCAAGACATTTCTCTGCTCTCTAATCCTGCCAGAAATGTGTATGCGGGTCATCAGGGTGGATTACTTGTTACTTTTCAACTCTTTGTAGGATTCTATGATTCTATATTTACTTGAAAAGAAAAGAAATTGCAAGGCTATGGGAAAAGAATGGGGGAGTGGGACTAATTGGATAGCTCTTTAAAAGATCTGTCACAGGCACAATGGGCCAAATGGATTCTATGATTCTATTTACAGAGACGAAGCACATCTAAACACAACCTTCAAGAATATTCTTGCTTTTGTAAAAGAGTCCCTGGTTTGTACTCTTTTGTGCTTCTCAATTTTTGCGTCTTTGCTTCCACCATGAACAAATACTCTAAAGTTCACAATATATAATAATACTTGCATTTAATATAGTGGGTTATCATGTCATCTGGATATAATGGAAAGTGGAGGTACTGTGTGTTTTGTGGGTGAATGCGGCAGCCAATTTGCACAGAGAATATCCCAGACATCCATGGAGTGAATGATCAATTTTATTTGGGAGATTTTTAGCCACGACACCAGGAGAGACTCTCTTCTTGACTTGAATAGTGCCATGGGATCTTTAACACCACCTCAGCAGGCAGCTAGGTCCTCGGTATCAAGGTGACGAATATCCGAATGATGGCACCTCTGTCAATATGGCGCACCCTGAGCACTGGGTGCTCAGTGTCAGCATGAATTATATTGTCAGCATGGATTGCTGACAATATAGTGTCAGCGTGGATTATATTGGGTCCAAGTCCCAACATGGAGCTTGAACCCACAATGTTCAGACTCAGAGCCGAGTTTGCTACCAACTGAGCCAGGCTGGCACTACAATGCTTTCTGTGCAGCAAGGGTGGGGGTGATTCCTTTGCGGAAAGGAGGGCACGGTTGTACAGTAGAGATCTTTGTCCTCCTGTTCCCGATCACTATCCAATGACTCTGCTGTCTGGATGTGTTCTGTATGGCTCAGTGCTGCCAGCCAGTGCAAGACATTGGAGAGCTCTCCACAGCTGTGCTTTCAAGTAGTTTTTAAATTTTCCTGAAATGTGGAGCTTGATGTCTTGAATTCTGTTTGTCATCCTGCCTCTTTTTCTCATTTGCATTTTGGAATTTTGATGAAGCTCTGTTGCGAGACCTTGAAGACTTCAGGTGTATCACTGGGTGGACTCCTTTTCCAGAGGCAAAGACCTGTAGCAAATACTTCAGCGGACCATCTAGCTGGCTAGAAGCACAGGCAAGACTCACATTATCCTGATTTGTTTTGTGCTTTTTACTAAGTTCATCAGTTACTGAATTCCAAAACAAGGATCGTAAAATTTGATGACCATTCCAAGTGAAGCTGTACAGTGCTTTGGTCAGGCATACACGGAACACTGCATACAGTTCTGTTCTCTGAAACTGGTAGCAAAAGACCATAAAATGTAAATATTGTTTTTTATTCAGGCATAGGGTGCAAAAGCAAGTAGCAAGTAGTTTTGAACTTGTACAGCACCTTGGTTAGGTCACAGTTGAAGTATTGTAGACAGTTTGGAGTACCCTATATCCCTTTAAAAGCAATCAAAAAGGTGCATGATAGATACATATTGATGTCATCGGGCATGAAGGGCTTTAGTTTGAGACTTAAGGTGAAAAAAGATGAAGAGGTGACGTATTAAAGGTCTTCAAGATTATGAATAGGATAAAGAGTAATAGGTTATTTCCACTATTTGGGAAGTTGGTAACAAATTTAAGGGAAATCAATGCAAAGAAACAAATTACAGAGAGGGAAGAGGATAGATGACATTTGGAATTCTCTGCACAAATTTTGTTTTTTAAAGTGTAGTCATCAATAATTTTCAAAGGGAATTACATTGATGTTCAGATGAGAATCAAAAGATATGAAAGTTGAGCAAGAGTGTGGGATTACATTGTTTTAGGTGCAGATAAATAGAAGTTCAGACTTGATTCATTATTGTTTCTGTCCTGTGACATTCTATGTTTTGAAATGGGCCAAGGGATTTCTTTATCCAAAACTCTCTTGCAATCTTGAGCGTTGAAAAGCTTCGCCCATGAAATACACAGTCAATCCACTTTACAGTATATACTGTGAAGCACTTTCAGACATCTCAACGACAGGATAAATTTAAGGATTATTATTTGTGAGCAATGAGGTGCAAACAATACCTGATTTACTAAGAGCCAATTACCTACTTGTACTCGATTGGTCATTGGCTCACTTGTACTTCATTAATTACTGAGATTTTCCTGCTTTTCCACTTATTTCATGTTTCACCAAATCATTGTTCTGCTCTCCAAGGGAGAAGCTGAAAGAGACCTAGAGGTATGAGTTGACTTATCACTCACCATATCAAAGCAGTATGATCCAGTAAAACACTTGAAAGGCAAACAGGGTACCGCACTTGAGATTCTGGTCACCATAACATAAGGGGCCTTGAAGCATCGCAAAGGATAACAATGAGGATGATCCCCAAGTGTTAGTGGAATGAGCTATGAGTAACGATTAGATAAACTAAGACTCTTCAGTCTTGAGAGAAGCTGATTCAGAGGGGAATTCATAGAGGTGTATAAAATTTTAAATGGAATTGAATACAATACAAATTATATTTGTATAATGCCTTTCACATCGGGAGGACGCCCCAAGGTGCTGGACAGTCAAGGTTTTAGACCCGAGTTGGGGATTGGGATCGGGGAGGATAGAGGGCAGGGAGAGTGACCGAAAGTTCAGTCAAAGAGGAGGGTTTTGAGACGGGCCTTGAAGGAGGCGAGGGAGGGAGTGAGGCAAAGGGAATAGAGGGTGGGTGGAAAGATTGAAGTCCCAGAAACCGATGTTGGAGAGGGTCGGGCAGGTGACATGGAGCAGGCCGGAGCCTGCTGAGTGGAGGGAGTGGACAGGTTCATATGGGGTCAGCGGGTCGCAGAGTTAGGAAGGGGCAAGGTCATAGAGGGCCTTGAAGGCAAGGACAAGGATTTTGTCCTCTGCGGGATGGGGAGCCAGTGGAGCCGGGCGGCGTGGGATTGATGGGGTCATGGAACCTAGTACAGAAGAGGACACAAGCTGCAGCGTTCTGGATGATCTGCAGCTTGTGGAGGGGAGAGTTGGGAAGGCAGACAAGCTGGGAATTGGCATAGGCAAGCCTAGATATGATGAATGCACTGATGAGGGTTTTGGGTGGCCTGAGGGGTGAGGCAGTGGCTGAGCCGGGCAATGTTGCAGAGGCAGAGCAGATCAGGATACAGTGGAAAGGGTGCCAGTGGACAGGGAGAGGTCTATGATGTTTCTGAGTAGGGGCCAAGGAGGTGGAGCTGGTAGGTAAGTAGAGGGATAGGAATGGTGTTGAAGGAGCATATTGTTAGTTTCATGTGGGTCATAGTGCTGGTGATAGAGGAGGGGAAGACAGGATCAAAGGCATGGAGGGAGGGCTGGATAGGGTCCATGGTGTTATGGTGATAAGGGTGGAGGTTAGTAGTTGGAAGGGCAGAGGCAGCTGAGCAGGCTCCTTCGATTTTGGTTTCAAAGAAGTCCAGCATCTCCTCACATTTGGAATTGAAAACTAAAATCCAAACATTAAGGCTTCACCAAGACAGTAGAACAAGAGGATATAGGTTTAGAGTGGTACAGGGGAATTTTAGGACAGACGCCAGGAGGTTTGATTAAGAAAAGAACAGTGATTGTTAAGCAGAATTTGCAAGATGCTTGCTGAGTCAGATGTTCTATGCAGCATGTAACTCTCTAAATGTTAAATCAATCCCCAGGAATCTCAACCCAAGTTTCTCACCACCTGCAACATACCTGATGACAGGTGTTGCAACCAAAGACTCCATCACCTTCTTCATTTCATGCCTGGGTCTCAGGTTTTTTCCTCCTTGGGTTTGTCTCTAGGCCTCCCCCACAAACATGTCATTGACGACTCCACCCCCACACCATATCTATGTCCTCAGCTATACCATGTCCTCAGCTACAACACATCCTCATCTATACTATGTTCTAAGCTATACCACATCCTCATCTACACCATGTCCCTTCCTCATTGACACCATTTCCTCATCTACACCATGTTCTCAACTAAACTATGTTGTCATGTACACCATATCCTCGTCTATAGCATCTCCTCATCTGCACCATGTCCTCATCTACACCATGTACTACGCGACCACCACCTCCTCACCTACACCATGTCCTCAGTTAAACCATATCCCCATCTACACCATGTCCTCATCTGCACCGCATCCTCAGCTACATGAAGTCCTCAGCTACACCACATCCTCATCTACACCATGTCCTAATCTACACCATGTCCTAATCTACACGATTTCCTCATCTACACCATGTCCTCAGCTACATCATGTCCTAAGCGGCGCCACATCCTCATCTACACCATGTTCTCATCAACACCATTTCCTCATCAACACCATATTCTCAGCTAAACCATGTCCTCAGCGACATCATGTCCTCGCGTAGACCGTGTGCTAATTTACACCACCTCTGCGTCTACCCCATGTCCTCAGCTACAACATGTCCTAATCTAAACTATGTCCTCAGCAAAACCACATCCTGATCTACACCACGTCCTCAGTTACGCCCATCCTCATCTACACCATGTCCTAATCTACACCATGTCGTCAGCTACACCATGTCCAAAGGTACACCACATCCTCATCTACACCATTTCCTCATCAACACCATTTCCTCATCTACACCATGTTCTCAGCTAAACCATGTCCTCATTTACACCACGTCCTCAGCTACACCACGTCCTTAGCTACACCACGTCTTCATTTACACCACGTCTTCATTTACACCACGTCTTCATCAACGCCATGTCCTCAGCTACTCCATGTCCTCATCTACACCATGTGCAAAGCTACACCATGCCCTCATTTACACCATGTCCTCAGCTACACCACATTCTCGTCTACACCAAGTCCTTATCTACACCAAGTCCTCAGCTACACCACATCCTCATCT